CCCTCCTCTCGTGCTCGTTGTCGTCCTCGTTTTCGTCGCCGTGCTCGCTCGCGTCCTCCTCCTCCTCCTCCATCATCCTCCATCATCCTTATCATCCTCATCATCAGCATCATCATCAGCATCATCATCATCAGCATCATCAGCATCAGCATCAGCATGATCATCATCACCATCATCATCACCACCACCACCACCACCACCATCACCATCATCATCACCACCACCACCACCACCATCATCATCATCATCATCATCATCAGCATCATCATCAGCATCAGCATCAGCATCATCATCATCATCATCATCATCATCATCATCATCATCATCATCATCATCATCATCATCATCATCATCATCATCATCATCATCATCATCATCATCATCATCATCATCATCATCATCATCATCATCATCATCATCATCATCATCATCATCATCATCATCATCCGCCTCCTCCTCATCCTCATGGTCGGCGTCGCGCCTTTCTTCTCTTCCTCCTTCTCCTATTTCTCCTCCTCCTCCTCCTCATCTTCCTCCTCTTTGTCCTCGTTCTCGTCCTCCTCCCCCTCACCCTCGTCCTCGTCCCCCTCCCCCAGAGTGTCCTTTCCAGCTCCGCCTGCACCGCCTCGTCGGTAGAGACCGCCGCCGGCCGGGACGCTGCCCGCGCCGGCGGCGCGAACGGGGGTGCGCAGGCCTCCCGCGGGGGGAGGGGAGGGGGGGCGCGCCCTCTGGCTCCCCCCTCGCGCCCCGAGGAGGCGGGGGGAGCTCGGCCTGCTGATGCAGGATGCCTTCAGGCGATCCCAGAGCTCCACGTAGCAGGGCCCTGGCACTGGGCTGCCAGGGGCGGGCGCCCTCTGGCAGAGGCGGCGCGCACACAGGGGGGCAGAGGGAGGGGGGAAGGCTTCTCAGAAGCAGGCTGCTTCTTGGAAGGCGCCGGCCTTGCATCCACAGAGAAGGCCCGCGCCTTCTCTAAGAAGCAGGGGTGCTTCTCAGAAGCCTTCCCCCCTCCCCCTGCCCCCCTCTGCGCGTGGCCGATGGCTCCCCCTCAGCCCCCCAGGGATCGCCCGGGAAGAAGGGGAAAGGCGGAGGGGGGCAGGCTCAGCCTGAACCCCGAAGCGGTGTACACGCCCTGCCCAGGCTTGGCGACGGACAGTCCCACCAGCCCTCTGGGCGCGAGTGGTTTCGGGAGTTTCCTCTTCCACTGCCCTTTTTCCCCTTCGTGGAGGGGTCCATCATTGTTCCCTATGAATATGCACCTCCTCCCCCACGCGACCGGCAGCCAACCAGGAACAGTGAGCACACCATACTCCCCCCACACAGCATCCCTGTCAACAAAAAACGCTCTGTGCCTCCGCATTTGGAGCATGCGCGGCCAACCCGATGCGCCCCCCCCCCGCACCATCCGGTCAAAAACAAACAATACAAAGTACACTTTGGGGCAAAGTCTTGAGCTGTGTTCGTGAGGCTCGCGAGCACTCCGTATTGTTTTCGACTGGGGCGGCGGGGGTGTCAGCATATTGCCTACTGTGCGCAGGGGGAACACCCCTGACACAAAAAACAATACAAAATGCACATCGCGACTAAATCGGGATCATGCGCGGTCACCCCACGATCACTGTCAAGTGGTTTTGACAGGGACGTCACCCCAGATACTTATTATCGTTTTACTGATGCAAATTTGGACAAATCTATCGTCGAGCCATTATGGTGTAGGAGACTGCTCATGCAAATGAAAGAAACATTACTGAAAACTAGTAATAATGAAAATGATGCACACTCTGCACGTGCCCTGAACGTGGCGCACCTGGCGTGGCTGGATTATGCGGCACACCTGGCGCACGCGGAGCACGTGGCGCATCTTGCGCATCAGGCGTGCCTGGCACGCTCGGGCCCAAGGGGCGCCTGGCGCGCGTGGCGCGCCTGGCACGGGTGGCGCACCTCGCCCCAGCGTATGGGGTCGGCTTTGGTTCCCAGTAGCTGCCCATCCAAAGACGACCGCTGAACATGGGCGGGTGGGTGGGTGGGAGTGAGCTAGACGGCTTGCTATCTAGGAGGGTGTCTTGACCCCTCCCCCTACCCCCTCCCCTTGGACCTGGACGGGGGGGCGCGAGGCGTCAGAGCGTTGAAGATAACCTCGGCGAGAAGACCAACATCATTGATTCCACTTAGGTCTTGGCCACCCTTTGGCCTCCCTTCTTTGCTCGAACGCCTCCAAGATGGCCCCAAGATGGCCTCCGAAGCTCCCAAGAGTGCCCCAAGAGGGTCTCAATACGCGCCCAGGAGGCCGCGAGAGGCCCCCAAGAGGCCCCCAAGAGGCCCTCAAGAGGCTCCTCCGAGGCACCAAGGCACCCTGACAGGCATACAAAAACTCTCGAAAGACATCCGAAACACTCTGACAAGCATCCAAGAAGCTTCTTGTCTTTCTGTTCGCTCTCCTCCTCCTCTTCCTCTTCCTCATCCGCCTGATCCTCCTCCTTCCTCCTCTCGTCTCCCTCTCTCTTCTCCTCCTCCTCCTCCTCCTCATCCTCCTCCTCCTCCTCCTCCTCCTCCTCCTCCTCCTCCTCCTCCTCCTCCTCCTCTTCCTCATCCTCATCCTCATCCTCATCCTCATCCTCATCCTCATCCTCATCCTCCTCATCCTCTTCCTCCTCGTTCCTCCTCCACCCTCCCCCTCTTGGGGCATGACGGCTGCCCATCCTTTATTCCACTGCGTGCTCCCCCACATGCCTGATCAGGGCAACTCACTTGGGCATCGTGTCTGGATGGGCTGGCGGGGTTGCGCGAAGCGCCTAGAATTGTAGATTCCGTCGCCCTGCTCTGCTGCGCGGGCACTCCACGCCACGGATGCCGCCGGGGGCGGGGCGGTGGCGGGCTCGGGTGGTGCGAGGGGCGGAGGACGTGTCTAGATCCCGTCGCCCGAGAGGAGGCCCGCCACGCCGCCGCAGACACGCCCTGCCACGCCGCCCCGACTGCCACCGCCCCCCCATCTCCGATTCTGTGGGCAGGGGTGGGGGGGGGAAGGGCGACATTCGCTGCTTCCTGCACCACGCAATACAGCAGATGCGGTTCTCAAGCCTGTGTTTGGGGGCAGCATGTTTTCGCAGGCGCTCTGGGTGAGTTTTCGGCGACCACGTCGCCTCTCCAGACTGGTCTGACTTGAAATGGCTATGGCCCTCCCTCCTGCCAACACGTGCGCGCAAGAGCAGGGCAGGGAGGGGGGCGACATTTGCTGCTCTCTGCGCCATCGCAGCGCTACGGTCCCCAAGAAGCCAGTGGGGACATGGACAGCAGCAGGTGCTAAAATCGAGAGCGTGGGCCTGAGCGTTCGCATCTGAAGTAGCCGTGCCGCTCTGCAGGGGAAGTGAGGGAAGTCGCCGTGCCGCTCTGCAGGGGAAGTGGGAAGCCTCGTAGAGGACCAGCCTCCTCCCTGCAGCCCACTCGCCTGCAGCCCGCCAGCGCCGGCAGACCCCGGCGACAGCGCGGGCGCGGCCTCCGCCGCCGGTCGGGGGCTCTGCGCCCGCGGCGCAGCCTGCTCGGCGGAGTCTGGCGCCTCTGGCTCGGCGCTCGCGGCCCCGTCGCTCCTCCCCTCCTCCTGTAGAGGGCAGGAAAACCACCTTCATAATAAGCACCCCGACGAGCGAAGCCTCTAGTGTACGCGCCCAAGGAAGGGATCGAAAAGGGCAGGGCTGTTCAGCAGAGAGCCCAGTGCTGTTTCGTAAAAGCCAAGTGTGGGGGTCGGGGTACTTTTTTCTCCCTTGATCAGCGCTGGCGGCAGCGCTGGCGGCCGCGAGCGCGTCTGTCTAGCCCGTGGGCCGCGCCGGGCAAGGGGCACACTAAGACGGATAGAGACGCAAAGGGCGGCCGCGGAGGCAGAGGGAGGGAGGAGGCCCGAGCCGTCGAGTCGACGGGTGGGAAGCGCGCAGGTGGCCTCAGGCACCGGGAGCCAGTGTACCCTCGCTTGCACGCGCGAGCAACCTTGATATGTCATTTGTCCGAAGTTAGCGTCTTACCGGAGGGCTTCTAATAGGCTATCTCGAGCGGGCGTCAAAGAAGCACAGTCGAGTCCCAGGAAGAGGGCGTGGAGCCCTGGACCGCCCGAACTCGCACGGTCTGGCGGCGGTTTCGCCAGAGACTTCGTCACTAATATTAGCGAGCCATGTTCTCACCTCAATGCCGGCTACATTGTTGAACCAGACGGCCACTTGGCCATGCTCTCACACCTGTCCCCCATAGCTGGCTTCCCACTCCCCGACCTGCCTCTTCACCTTTACTGCTATTAGGGTGCCTTGCTGGGGCATCCTTGTATTCATTCTGGTAACAATGGTCTCCTGGGGGGGGGGCAGGTGACAGCAACGCTGGGGTGGGGGTGCGCTGCGACGGTCGCCGTAGCATGCGCGCGAGCACCAGCTCCCCCCCACTTTCGCACGTACGATCGTGACCGTTACCCGTGCGAGGGGGGGGGGCCCGGGTGACGGCCTGTACGCGCCAGAGAATTTGAATGTGATAACAATATCCTTTGGAACGTGGCTTTCAGGGACCGCGGGGGGGCCAAATCCAAGCGTGCAGGTCGCTGCTGGGGGGGGGGGCTTGTGGGCCCGCATCAGAGGTTACTCCGGCGAAGGCTCATCTTTACGCGTGGCCGACCTCCTCCCGGCTCCTCCCTCCTTCTCCCTCCTCCCCCTCCTCCTCGTCTGGTTCACTTCCCCTTCTCAGGAGGTCGGATCGGGTCGGACGAGGACGGGGGGATAGCAAGGGGAGGGCGGGTGCGAGCCCACTCGTGCAGCGGACTTTCTCGGCGCCTCCTGGCGCCGGAGGCGTCCACGCATCGGGGAAAGTGCATGGCAGCGCGGCCGCAACCATCTGCATGCAGCCTTTTTCGCACAGACCCCCTTGCCCAATCTTAGAAAGCAGCTCGCGGAAGCTTTTGGTCGTCCCCGTGGCGCCCAACAGCGCGCCCAATCCCGTGCAAAGCGGATATCATGCACCTCCCTCACATGGCGCTATCGGTCGCCAATGCGCGCTATGTGAGCGCTATTCGGCGCTACTGGGCGCTATTGGGTGCTATCTTGCGCTATGGAGCGCTATGGGGCGCTATCCGCCAGTACACATGCAATACAACATGAACGGCAATGTTCGTGACTTGCTGCCTAACTCATCCCCCCATGTCGTCCGACCCCAGCGGATGAGGACGAGGAGCATCTACCCCCCAGGATTGTCTCTGGAGTCCGTTTTCCCCCCTGGAGCCTTTCTTGCAAAGGGCAGCGCGAGGGGGGACCGGCTGCGCGGGGGGGGACATCGGGACTGAATCGGCGATACATCGCCGATACGTAGCTCGGCGATAAGCCCCCGACAGCGAATCCACACGATCCTGGGCGGGGCGGAGCCATCTGGCCTCTGTCGGCGATCGATGGGCGATTAGGGATCGAGGCCTGAGCCTAACGCTGCCCCTTACCGTTGTCGGCCCCGGGGCCCCCGAGGAATCCCACCAGCCCTTTGGGCGTAGGTTGTCTAGAGAGCTTTCTCGTCCAACCCTCTTCTAGCCCTTCGGGGAGGGGCTTATCACTGTTCGTTATTAATATACACCCCCTCCCCCAGGCGACCAGGGGACAACCAGGCACCATGCCGACACCATGACCACCCGCCATTCACCATCCCTGTCAAAGAAAACAATACAAACCGCACTCTGCCTCCAAATTTGGAGCATGCGCGGCCAACCCGATGCGCCCCCCGCACCATCCTTGTCGAAAGCGATATAAAGTACGTATTGGGACAGGTCTTGAATCACATTCGTGCGACCCGCGAACACTTCGCATTGTTCCCAAACCATCCCGTAGTGTTGGGTCCTCGCTTTGAAAAGACAGCGCCCCGCGTCCCTCCTCTCCTCTCCTCTCCTCTCCTCTCCTCTCCTCTCCTCTCCTCTCCTCTCCTCCTCCTTCCTCTCCTCCCTCCTCCCATACACCTCGTCACCTCCCTGCAGCGCTTCGTGGCCCCACAGGGAGCTCCACCGAAGGCTCCAGTGGCAGGGTCCGCATGCGTCAACGCCACCCAAGACAGCGTTTCGTAACCCCATAAAGAGCGCCACCGAAGGCTCCGGTTGCAGGTTCCGCGTGCGTCAACGCCACCCAGGACAGCGCTTCGTGGCCCCATAGGGAGCTCCACCGAGAGCTCCACTGGCAGGGTCCGCAAGCGTCAACGCCACTCAGAACATCGCTTCGCAGCCCCATAGGGGGCCCCACCAGAAGGCTTCAGTAGCGCCGTTCGCATGCGCCAGCGCCACCCAGGACACCACTTCGTGGCCCCATAGGGCGCTCCACCGAAGGCTCCAGTAGCAACGTCCGCATGCGTCAGCGTCAACCAGGACAGCATTTCGAGGGCCCATCGGGAGCTCCACCGAAAGCTCCAGTGGCAAGGCCCGCATGCGTCAACGCCACCCAGGACAGCGTTTCCTGGCCCCACATGGAGCTCCACCGACGGCTCCAGTGGCTCAGCTCGCATGCATCAGCGCCATCCAAGACAGCGCTTCGTGGCCTCATAGGGGGCTCCACCGAAACTTCCAGACCTCAAGTGGCAGGGTCCGCATGCGTCAACGCTACCCAAGACAGCGTTTCGTGGCTCCATACTCCACCGGAGGCGCCAGTGGCAGGGTCCGAATGCGTCACCGCCACACAGGACAGCGCTTCGTGGCCACATATGAGGGCTCCACCGAAAACTCCAGTGGCATTATGTGTTAACGCCACTCAGGATAGCTTTCCGTGGCCCCGTAGTGAACTCCATTGAAGGCTCCAGTGGCAGGGTCCGAAGGCGCCAACGCCATCCAGGACAGCGCTTCGTGGCCCCATAGGGAGCTCCAGCGAAGGCTCCAGCGGCAAGGTCCTTATGCGTCACCGCCACCCAAGAACAGCGTTCCGTGGTCCCGTAAGGAGCTCCACCGACGGCTCCAATGGCGGGGTCCGCAAGCGTCAACGCCACCCAGAACAACGATTCGTGGCCCCACATGGAGCTCCGCCGAAGCCTCCACTGGCACCGTCCGCGTGCGCTTCGTGGCCCCATAGGGAGCTCCGCCGAAGGCTCCACTGGCAGGGTCCGCGTGCGTCAACGCCAGCCAAGGCAGCGCTTCGTGGCCCCATAAGGAGCTCCAACGAAGGCTCCAGTGACAGGGCCCGCATGCGTCAACGCCACCCAGGACAGCGTTTCGAGGGCCCATAGGGAACTCCACCGAAGACTCCAGAGGCAGGGACCGCATGCGTCAACGCCACCCATGTAGACACACCCCATCACACGGTTCGTGGCCCCATAGGGAGCTCCACCGAAGGCCCCAGTGGCGCCGTTCGCATGCGTTTTTCCCAACCAACCTGTGTTGTTGGGTCCTCGTTTTGAAGAGACGGTCCCCGCGTTCCTCCTTCCTCCTTCCTCCTTCCTCCTCCTCCCCTTCCTCCCCCCTCCTCCCCCTCCCACACCCACTCTGGCACACCCCTCACACGTTTCGTGGCCCCATAGGGAGCTCCACCGAAGGCCCCAGTGGCTGCGCCCGCATGCGGTTCCACCCCCCATTCTGGCACACCCCTCACACGTTTCGTGGCCCCATAGGGAGCTCCACCGAAGGCCCCAGTGGCTGCGCCCGCATGCGGTTCCACCCCCCATTCTGGCACACCCCTCACACGTTTCGTGGCCCCATAGGGAGCTCCACCGAAGGCCCCAGTGGCTGCGCCCGCATGCGGTTCCACCCCCCATTCTGGCACACCCCTCACACGTTTCGTGGCCCCATAGGGAGCTCCACCGAAGGCCCCAGTGGCTGCGCCCGCATGCGGTTCCACCCCCCATTCTGGCACACCCCTCACACGTTTCGTGGCCCCATAGGGAGCTCCACCGAAGGCCCCAGTGGCTGCGCCCGCATGCGGTTCCACCCCCCATTCTGGCACACCCCTCACACGTTTCGTGGCCCCATAGGGAGCTCCACCGAAGGCCCCAGTGGCTGCGCCCGCATGCGGTTCCACCCCCATTCTGGCACACCCCTCACACGCTTCGCCCCATGGCCCCATAGCGGAGCTCCACCGAAGGCCCCAGCTGAAGGCCCCTGGCGCCCGCATGCGGTTCCACCCCCCATTCTGGCACACCCCTCACACGTTTCGTGGCCCCATAGGGAGCTCCACCGAAGGCCCCAGTGGCTGCGCCCGCATGCGGTTCCACCCCCCATTCTGGCACACCCCTCACACGTTTCGTGGCCCCATAGGGAGCTCCACCGAAGGCCCCAGTGGCTGCGCCCGCATGCGGTTCCACCCCCCATTCTGGCACACCCCTCACACGTTTCGTGGCCCCATAGGGAGCTCCACCGAAGGCCCCAGTGGCTGCGCCCGCATGCGGTTCCACCCCCCATTCTGGCACACCCCTCACACGTTTCGTGGCCCCATAGGGAGCTCCACCGAAGGCCCCAGTGGCTGCGCCCGCATGCGGTTCCACCCCCCATTCTGGCACACCCCTCACACGTTTCGTGGCCCCATAGGGAGCTCCACCGAAGGCCCCAGTGGCTGCGCCCGCATGCGGTTCCACCCCCCATTCTGGCACACCCCTCACACGTTTCGTGGCCCCATAGGGAGCTCCACCGAAGGCCCCAGTGGCTGCGCCCGCATGCGGTTCCACCCCCCATTCTGGCACACCCCTCACACGTTTCGTGGCTCCATAGGGAGCTCCACCGAGCGCCCCAGTGGCTGCGCTCGCATGCGGTTCCACCCCCCCATTTCGGCACACCCCTCACTCGTTTCGTGTCCCGGGGGCGCCACCGAAGAATATATCCACAATTGCGGTATTCACAACTACGTATGGTTGGGTCTTTCGTCAGGCTAATTTTTTCCACCCAAGACAAAGCTCTGAGGCCCCATAGGGAGCTCCACCGAAGGCCCCAATGGCATCGTTCGCATGCGCTTCTTCCGCCCAGGACAGCGCTTCGTGGCCCCATAGGGAGCTCAACCGAAGGCCCCACTGGCACCGTCCGCGTGCGTCCACGCCACCCAAAACAACGCTTCGTGGCCCCATAGAAAGCTCAGCTCCACCGAGGGCCCCAATGGCACCGCTCGAAAGCGTCCCCCCCACCTACGACAACGTTTCGTGGCCCCACAGGGAGCCCCACCGAAGGCCCCAGCGGCGCCGTTCGCATGCGTCTCTCCCACCCAGGACAATGTTTCGTGGCCCCAGAAGGAACTCGACCGAAAGCTCCAGTGGCGCCGTTCGCATGCGTCTCCCCCACCCAGGACAAAGCTCTGAGGCCCCATAGGGAGCTCCACCGAAGGCGGCAGTGGCGCAGTTCGCATGCGTCTCCCCCACCCATGACAACGCTTCGTGGCCCCATAGGAGCTCCAACAAAGGCCCCACTGGCGCAGTTCGCGTGCGTCTCTCCCGCCCAGGACAACGCTTCGTGGCCCCATAGGGAGCTCCACCGAGGGCCCCAGTGGCTGTGTCCACATGCGTCCGCGACACCGATTTGGGCGCACCATTCGCACGTTTCGAGGCCCCATATGGGGGCTCCACCGGAAACGGTACCTACAATGCGGCATGCGCAGCTGCATATGGTTGGGTCCTTTGTCAGGCGCATTGCATGTTTTTTCGAAAGGGACGGCGGGGGTGTCAGCATATTCCCTGCTGTGCGCAGGGCGACCATCTTTGACAAACAAAAAACATACAACATGCACCTCGCGGCTAAATCTGGATCGTTCGCGGCCATCCCGCGATCACTGTCAAACGGTTTTTGGCAGGGACTGCAGGGGTGGTGGCGCGTGGCCTGCTGTGCGCAGGCCCAGCAGACATAACGATGGGCATCAGCTTGCGACAAGGATGGCGGGGGCCGACATTTTTCCCGATGTTTGCTGTCACGTGCGCAGGCGCACCTGACGCACTCTGCACGTGCCCTGAACGCGGCGCACCTGGCGCGCGTGGTGCCCCTGGCACGCGTGGCGCTCCTCGCCCAAACGTCGTGCACCTGGGGCCGGCTTTGGTTCCCACTACCTGT